ACAGGATTAATTCCGCAGGGTTCTCAAGTTTCTGAAACTGCCAGCATCTTTCCACCATGATAAGTCTGCTGCCCTCTTGTGGGAAAACGGTGGTGCTTACAGCAAAAACGGAAAAAAAGGACAAATTGCTCGCGAAGAAATCGTTAACTAAGGCTCCCTTTTCCTTTTTTTAAGATTTTATTTATTTATTTATTCATGAGAGACACAGAGGCAGAGACACAAGCAGAGGGAGAAGCAGGCTCCCTGCAGGGAGCCCGATGCAGGACTCGATCCCAGGACTCTGGGCGGAAATCAAACCACTGAGCTACCCAGGGACCACTGGCTTCCTTTTCATAGAAACTGACCTATCAATTGGCCCCCTCACCTTTCCTATAGCCTGAGGTTACAAGAGTCCCCGTGGTCTCATACTCAATCATTACCTCAAGTAGAGTTTTAAAAACACAGGTGGTCTTTTGTGTTTTCTAATTCCTTAAAAATATAGCTTCTGGACTCTTGCAGAAGTTTGTTAAAGCCATTTGCCTTAAAGAAAGACTCCCACCACCTATCCTATGAAAATTAGGTGGGGGGACGCCTGGGTGGCTCAGTGGTTGAACACCTGCCTTTGGCTCAAGTCGTGATCCCTGGTTCCTGGGATCAGGTCCCACATTGGGCTCCCCGCAGGGAGTCTGCTTCTCCCTCTGCCTCTGCACACACCCCCTTTAAAATCTTTAGAAAAAAAAAAAAGAAAAAAAAGAAAATTACATGGGGTTTTATTAGGTTTGGTTCCTAATGCTTGAACTAAAATGAAAACTTCAAGTCCCATCTAGTCTACCATCTTTCAACCTGGGGGGTGAATGCCACTTTCTTCCCCTTTATCCTAGGGAGCCCTTGTGAAATCTCTCCTTGTTTATAGGCAACCATCAACAAGCCACCCTCCTAATCTGAGCCATTAAAAGCAACCAATAAACTCCTACTTAGGGTTTCCTGGGGCCACAGTTCCCTTAATTGGCCAGCACAAACCACAAAGCCCTTGGGAGACAGTGTCAGGAGCCCTTCTGGACAGTGATGCACAGGCTTTTGCAGTTAACCCTCTACAGCTTGCTCCTGGCTCTGGAGCTGCTTAGGATGCATGCAAAGTGAGTAACACCTGACTAGTTTCTCAGGGTCTCCGAGCAGAGAGCCTCTCCCACCTCCCCAGCGATTCTGACCCTGAGTTTTCCATCAGCGGAGCTCTCTACTGGGAAGAACACCACATGGCCACTGCAAAGATCATAGACTTTCTTCCCCTGAAGGTCGTTAGTGAACATTTAGAGCAGTCCCCAACCCCCTCCCCCATCTCACACACACACACACACACACACACACACACACACACACACCCTGATGGAATACAGAGCTGAGCTCACTAGAATGGGAGGGAGGCAGGAAAGGGATGGTCATAGTGCCCCAGTGTCCTCGATCTACAAAAAGCTTTTGCCAATCATCAAGTAAACAAGCAATAAGAGCCAACAGAAAAGTGGATAAGGAATACAATAGCCCAAATAAAAACAAACAGTCCGCCAGCACATTAAGAGGGTCGTCAGGCAAAAAGAGACATAAGCCCATATAACTGACAAGTTTTCATTACTAGATCGGCAAAAAAATTAAAACTTGGTAGCGCCCAGAGTTGATAAGGACGTAGGGAAACACTGTTACTGTTGGGGGGCAAGTATTAAAAAGTCCAAAAGTTCTGGAGGGCACGTTGGCGCTATTAAAACCTGAATGTGCTGTGTCAGAAGCTGCAGGATACTCACCAAAATTCGGGTTCTCCTCGTCTCCCTGTGCCCGCAGCTACAGTGTTTCCCAGTTGCCCTGCGGTAAGATGTGCCTATGGGCCCAGGCTTTCACCAACAGTGTGCACGTGATGCAGCCCACAACTAGGCCGGCTCATTAACATGTCCCAGGGGAGCCCTCCAGGCTCATTTCCCCTGCCAGCTGGCTGGAATGGAGGCCACTCTAGGACAACCTTGGAAGCCACAGGTTGAAAATGACAGTACTTCCATCCACTGTAGGTCCCATAAAGACTGCTGTACAGGAGGATCATCCAGTAGACACATTCACCACCCCCTACCTCTGGGACTCATGAGCAAGAAACACACCCCCACTTGTTGAGCTGTTATGTGTATTTGGACTATTGGTTACAGCAATTAGGTGACTCTCACTAATACATATATGTGCACTTTAACTCAAGATCTTGCTACTAGGAATTCACCTGAAGGCGGAACATACATATTGTATAAACATGCTAACAAGCTAAATGTCCACAAAAATTGGGAGTGATCAAATCATTTACGGCACATCCACGCCAGAGACGACTATGCAGTGTTACAGAGTGATAGATCTGTAAGCACTCAAATGAAAGGATTTATAAACTCTATTGTTAAATGGGGAAAAAATCAAAACAGAAGGCGTAGTGATATACAAGTGCATACACGCATGCTGGTATGCACATTTTCTGGAAGAAGAGCTGTGATGATTAATTTTATGTGTCAGCTTGTCTGGGCCATCGGATGCCCAGATAGTTGATTAAACATTATTTCTGGGTGTGTCTGTAAAAGTGTTTCTGGAAGTGATTAGCATTTAAATTGGTGGACGGAGTGAAGTAGATGGCCCTCCCAAGGTGGCTGAGCCTCATCCAATCCCTTGAGTACTTAAAGGGAATGAAGAAAAGCTGGGAGAAAGCTCACTGTTGAGCTGGACATCAATCTTCTGGTTCTCAGCCCTTCAGACCTAGACTAGAGTACACATCAGCTCTCAGAAGTTCAAATCACACCACTGGCTTTCCTGGGTCTGAATTTCCAGCTTGCGGACCGCAGATCATGAGACTTCTCAGCCTACACAGTTGTGTGAGCCAATACTTCAATATAAATCTCTTTTTATATCACATATATACATGCACACGAGCATGCACGATAAGAAAATGGAAGAACAAAAAAAAATAAAAAAATAAAAATAAATAAAAATAAAATAAAATGGAAGAACAGAGCCCCATGCAGGGACTAACCAGTCCTGACTCCTTTGATGGTTGTTGAGACAAGGGGTGAGGATTTAAATCCCAAAAATGAAAGAAAGCGGGAGGAATCCCCCAAAAACCAAAGGACAGGTGCTGAGAATCCAAATAAAATCATCTAGGGGGCAGCCTGGGTGGCTCAGAGGTCTAGCGCCGCCTTCAGCCCAGGGCCTGATCCTGGAGACCCAGGATCGAGTCCCACGTTGGGCTCCCTGCATGGAGCCTGCTTCTCCCTCTGCCTGTGTCTCTGCCTCCCTCTCTGCCTCTCTCTCTCTCTCTCTCTCTCTCTCTGTCTCATGAATAAATAAATAAATAATCTTTTCAAAAAATCATCTAGGAATTTGAGGGTTGAAAATTTCATTCCTGTAGCAGGATTTGCCAAGGCTTTGCTCTGACTTCTCGCTGTCCGGACTGCCGCTGATTCTTTGCTTATATAGAAGATATTGTCTGTATTTCTTGTGTATGTAATTCTAATCTTAATTTAGTTTTATCCCTCTGGCTGTACCTTTTCTAAATTCAAAGAAATGAGGATTACCGTGTGGATAAAAATTGAAGGTCCAGTTGTGTCTTCTGTTTCCTTCAACTTTTAATCACTTTTCAACATAATCTCTCACGCCGAGTTCCTGGAAGTCTGGAAATCTGCTCTTGATATCCTGCCCCACTGAAATGCTCTGCGTTATTGCCACCCTGACTCTCAACTTCCACCCAAGAACCGAGATATGAATTAAACGATAAGACTAATGACTTCAAACACCCTATCCTTGAGAACAAGCTCATCAAAAGATACACAGTGCAATGACCAACTAGCTGTAGGCACTTCGCAGCAGCCAAATGGTATTGATTTTATGCTGATTCATTAAAATTTCAATTATTTTTCTCGTCTTCTCTGAACTCTCACTTGAGGAGGGAAAATTGAATCGTGAGAGGTTTTTTAAATCATCTTAAAGCCTAATATTATGCCTTTACCTTAAAATACCAGAATAACTGAGTGGAAGACACAACACGCTCTATGTCTGAGGGTGAGGCTATCTGATAAACTCCATACATTAGGCTTGTGGGAGACAGAATTTATTATTTTGACATATACCTGGTTGAGGGTTCGAGATTTACTTTCTCACGAAGCAGTCAAAGCAAGCCTGGCATTGCCACACTTCAAATTACTGAAGCAATGACAGTAAATTAACTATTTGGCAGCAAGTCCACAAACAACTCTCAATGTCTCAGGAAAACACAATTTACTGGGGAGTTTCCATCCAAGTCTGTAGCACTTTAAATGCAGACATAACAAGGAAAGGGGGTGGGGTGGGGCAGAAACACACATACATAAGCACCTTCACACACAGATCCTTAAGTGATCGTTTTCATCTTTTTTTTTTTTTTTTTTTTTTTTAGAAATAAGCAAAGTATAGACAAGGGTCTCGTGAGAAATGAGAATGATTCTCTAAAAGTTTAGACATAGTTTATTTTAGGTCCCTTGCAAAAGCTACCATTCCTTTTTTTTTTTTTTTTTTTCATTTTCTTCTTTATTTTTTTAAATCATTCACCATCTTTTCTCCACACATGTCGAAAAGGTCTTAGATGATCTGAAAACTTCACTCTCGTCCGGGAAATGTTTAAGTTTACCAATAAAGATGTTCTACCTTCGAAGCTACGGGAGTAATACATACACAAGACAGTGCTACTGGTTTTCCAGGATTCTCAGAGAAAAATCACGCTAAGGAGGAAAATGTGCTCAGGAAAAGGAAAGGGGGGGGGGAAGCATGGAAAACATCTTTTAAAAATGCCTAGAACAACACTCTTTCGGCACCAAACCACTGAACTGCTTTGCTCTGATGTGTTTCATGCTTCCTCTGATTATTTACACACCATCAAAAGCCCTTGTCAATTACGTGTGTCTAAAATGTGGACTCTGACGTTTGAAAGGGTTTTATTAATTGATCTCAGGGGCGCATAATGAGCTTAAAGGGCTTACCCGCGTGGCCCCGGGGGTGCTGGCTCGAGGCGGACATCAGCTTGCAGCACACCATGAGCACATAGGCCAGAAGGAGCCAGTGTGACAGCAACACTGACTTAGCAGAGACTCTCATCCTGGAGAGGAAGCAGGACACAAGTCAGTGAGGGCTCAGTGACGAAGGTTCTAGGGCAAACACACAAGCACGATCTGGGGGAAACTGGAAGAAATCAGTGAGAGATGCTCAGTGCTGGATTTCCCCACACACACCACCTCCCCCAAGGAAAATGAAGGCAAATCAAACCGGATTCCCACTGTGCATCAACTCAATTTTCAATGAACAATTTTTATAATTACGACTTTTCCAAGTTAGCAACATGCTTCGATGAGAAGCCTATTTATGAAGCCCCACTGCGTAGCTTGACTTGTCCTGATAGAACAAGGAGGTAACATACTATTTTATATCATGAAATTAGAAAGCTACACACTTAGAGTTGGATTCAAATAAAATACACATGGTGTCTGCATCTCAAAGAAACCACAGAAATTGTCACACTCAGCCCGAAAGTTTTCTCCTGGTTTCTCTGTGTATTAATAAATGATTATCAGTCTCAAAGTTTGGTGAGAATATGGGCAAGTACAGATGAATATAAAATGAGCTTAACTTCATATGGATGTCAACAGATGAATACATAAAGAAGATGTGGTATATATATATATATATATTTATGAATATTATTCAGCCATGAGAAAAAAAGGAAATACCGTCATTTGCAACAATTCAGAAGGACTTTGGGGGCATTATGCTAAGGGAAATATGAAGGAGAAAGACAAATACTGTTTGATCCCAGTTATCTGTGGAATCCAAAAAAGGACAAACTCAGAGAAACAGAGTAGAGTGTTACTTAGTAAAGGTTGGGAGGAGAGAAAAATGAGGAGAAATCGATCAAAAGGTACAAATTTTCAGTTATAATATAAGATTAATGTTTGGGGATCGAATGTACAGTGTGGTGATTATAGCTAATAACATTTTATCATATACTCGAATGTTGCTAAGAGTAGATCTTAAATGTTCTCACCACAAAAAAGAAATGGTACTTATGTGACAGGATGGAGGTGGCAGCCAATACAATGCTAGTCATCATTTTGCGATTTATATACATATCAAACCAGCACATGGCACACCTGAAACATACACAATGTTTTGTGTCAATTATATCTCAAAACACCTAAGATAGATAAACTTCATGCAGATGGACAGTAGCAAAACAGTTGCTCAAAGACAATTCAGCTCACAAATGTGGATGTGTAGTCTACTATTCTCAAACCCAAAAAAAATTAAATAAAAATAAAATATCAAAAGTGCATTTTCAGGGCACCTGGCTGGCTCAGTCAGTTGAGTGTCCAACTCTTGTCAGTTCAGGTCACGATCTCAGGGTCAGGAAATGGAGCCCTGCATCACGCTTCATGCTAAGTGCAGAGTCAGCCTGAGATTCTCTCTCTCTCCCTCTGCCCCACTCTCTCTCTCTCTCTCTCTCTCTCAAAGAAATAAACATATAAAATCTTTTTTAAAAATGTATTCATTCTTTCCTCAATTTTCTTTTTATTTTAATTGAAGAATAGTTGACATCTCTACTAATTTTCTACTCTTTTTGACATTATAGGGAAATTATAACCTTATTAACTATTGTTTGTTTTTTAATTAACTTTTTCAAGCAAAGTGGATCAGAGAACTTGGTATTTGAAATTTCAGTGATATTAGGTTCTACCAGACATATGTATCATGGTGTCTATGATATATAATTCACCACAATGGAGCTAAGGAACCCCCTTCACATAAATATACATACATACATATACATGTCATGTATAAACACTTATGGTTGGACTCCCGTTTTGCTCAGTAGAGACAATGCTCCTGAAGTTCTAGAAGGAAGGATCTAAGCAGCCCATGGCTGCCAGCAGCACCTCAACCAGAATCCTGAGTCTGTGCTTAAGGAAAAGCATAGTCTTGGGGACCTAGCACCCAAATCATACTCCATGGAACAGGTTCTACCTCCACCCTTCCCTCTTAGCCTCTCACAATTTAGTCAAACAGATCTTGTTGGAAAAGTATCATACAGTTCATGGATCTGAGACTCAGTCTGCCTTTGAAGCAGCCAGGGCAAGGCAAGGTTCTAAGATCACCTTTGAACAACTCCTAGTTAAAGGAGACACAAAGCGTTGGCTTCTTTTTGCCATTGGCCTTGGAAATCCTGAGCATTCCAAACTGACATCAGGTCTCTCCACTTTAAAGGTCCTACACCTGCTCTAATTTCTCCAAAACACCATCTTTTGTCTCCCCTACTTCATCTTGCATGCACAGAAGATAGAAACCCTAGGAGTGGTTCAAAAAGTGGCAAAGAAAATATGTGGGTCTATGTGAGCTTCTAGTATTATTATAGCTGACCCCTTAAAAGATGGGAAATTTCGGGCAAGGGGGCTCTTTGAAAGGAGAATAATTCAAAGAAGCTGTGTGTGGGGGGGAATAATTCTTCACTCCTAAAGGGGGCTCTGGGCAGTGCATCATAGTGTCCATCAAACAGAGGATGGCATATTCAATATGCATAATTTACTTTGTGAGGCTCTGGAGTCATCCTCAAGAGGAGAATCATCCCCTCAGGTATGAATGATCGTGCCATGCTCATTTAAATGTCATAGGAAGAGGTCTCATATAGGAAGCCCATCCCTGCCTGGGCCTGTTTTGCCCTCAGTTCCATTCTTTTCCTTTCCTCTAGGTCACTCCCATTGGCTGCATTTTCCAAGCTCCTGAATCAACTGAGTTTAACCAAGAGGAGATGATAGCAAGAGCCTGGAGGATGGACGAAAAAAAATAGAGGTGTTTCTCCCTACCTTCTCTGTCTTGGGCAGGATCTATGGAGCGGCCATCTCTCCTCCATAGTGCCAGTTCCTGCCAGAAGACCCACTCTGGTTCTAGCTCCCACTGAGGGTCCCTTTCCCCAGGTGTGGGCAAACAGTACTTCTTCCCTTTGTGCTACCAGCCCTGGGGACGGTAGTAGCTTCCTACTGTCCCTTACCTCTGGGCTGCCTCCACGTCTTCTGCTTGACTTCTCTGACTCTCCCTTTACAACATATGTTCCCTGAATTCAATTCCCTCTGTCCTGCATTATCAGAATGATCTGTTTTCCTGGCTGGATCCCAACAAACCCCAAACCTGAAGTCTCAAGGGCAGCCATTCCAATCTGAGCCATTCCATTCTGAATGGATAATCCCTGATCCATCTTCGTACATGGACAATTCTATGTACCAGGATCCTGGGTGAAGCTTCCCATGCCTAGAGCAGATATTTGCTTCACAGTAGCTATTACTGCCTGGAGAAATGCTAGGGGACAAGTAGATAGCTATTCAGCAACCATTTTTTATTTTAGTCAATAATCCAGACCCCCAGCGAAATGACTTCTGACCTACGACATCTACCATAATACTTCAACATCAATTTCTTCCCCCTTGAATGTTTTGTTGAAATGTAAAACAAAATTGGCTTATTTTTTAAAATCTCACCTATCACCCTACTGAAGAGCCAAAACACTGCTTCTTTACAAATGGAAATGATTTCAAAAATGAGAACTAAAACTTGAAGAACTAGGATTTCCAAAATGCTCAAAAATTCAATATAAAAAAACACCTTTTATAAAGGATCATCAACTCTAGGAGTCTCCGTTTTGCTAAATTCTCACTGCTTCATAAAAAAAAAAACTATCTCTAGGTGTCTGTTAAAATCATTTTACCTTGGTGACTTCATAAGATTTGGTTCCAGTCAAGCACAATTATTTCAGGATGGATTTCAGAGCAACTCCAAATTCCCATTTGTAGCGAGGGCCAAAAATGTCTGCAGTTGCAAAAAATTATCTTAGCTTGTGAAGACCTATTTAAGAAACAACAGGGATAGGAAGTCATTAGCATTTTAATATTGAAATGATACAGATTTCTAGTAGCAAAATAATGTTTTTTTTTATGATGAAACCTGCCGTTTTCAGGATGAGGTTGGCAACCAGATGCATCCACATTTGTAAAGGGTCCTAATATATGAGGGGGAAAGGACAGAGAATCCAGCACTCATCGACTAGTCACAGATTAGTTAACAGAATACAGTTGTAAAGTAGAAGTTATCTCAGCTGCAAAGGCATTCCAAACTTGACAGAGGATCCCAAACCATTCATGATGCCAAATTTCATTCTCCCCATTTCATTAACAATGGGATGAAAACAGAAATTGGGAGATGGCCCATTCCCAAGAGTTCTGCAACTTGCCCAAGCTCACAGAGCAGTGGAAAAGCCAGCATGAAGATCTGAATTAATTAGCTTTGTGAGACATAAATCTGAAGATGTGGCTAAACAAATCTGTGAGGATCCTTTCTGAAAAATGTTAATGGGAGGAAGAGAAAAAACACCTTTCCAATAGAAAACATCACACCAAAATACCAAGAACGCTTGTTAATACCATAATTGAGATTCAACACACTCCTTTAATGCACAGACCTAAAAGGACTTTTCAACTCAGCGAAAACATTTTTGCAGGAGGGATTCAGACGTTTCCAACCAAAGACAACTCAAGGAAACAAAATGGACCATGAAATGACACCGTTTTTAACATTGCTAAGTTAAAGATAGCCTTCCCGGTGGTGGAGATGGGAGAAAAATAATGGTGTGCATCAGTTAATATTAAAATTGCAAATCTGAGATAAAAATGAGCCTTGCGACACAGCCTAGTTACTTTGGAATCCCATGGAATCCATTACAAATCTGCCACAAAGCACAAGTGAGATTTTTCTCTTCTTTCGTTCTCTTCCCCTGAAGATAACTACACAAGTTTGCCCAGAGAATTCTGTAGGTGACAGACTTGCAGACCCAGTCCCTTTGAGGTTAAAAAAGAGAGAGTGAATAGTTCAACAAGAGAGAAGTGGCTTTGACTAACTATACAAAATATAAGGAACTGGTGGGGGGGGGGGGACCTTGGTAAATGTTCATCTCCCACCTCCTCCAACTTTATTAAGTATGTTTGTCCTGATGTCCACCCAAGGGCACAGTGTGACCTTCTGTTATTGGAAAGAAATACACAGTATAATTTTTCAGAATCTATCATAATGAACTTCCCACATATTGGAAACCAAAATGACCTTTCCTAGCTAATATTTATCTTGTTTTCTTCACACAAAAGGAACCACTGGGGACTCTTTTTTCAATTCATTAAAAAATGGATCCATCAGTGAAAAGAAATGTGATCTAATAGTTCGTACTCCAGACAAGGAGCCAGGAGTTTAATTTTAGGCTGAGCAGTAACTCATTCGGTCAGATTTTCCCAGGGTATACCCTAGGCATTGGCTTAAAAGGATTAACTCTTTCTTGTCACTTCTGAACTTCAGTGCATTCAAGACCATCCATAATTTTGTGCATGGCACCAAAAGCATTTGCTCCCAGTCATTTCATTTCTCTCTCTTTTGTTTCCCAGCCATACCACACTGATTTCTAGCCAGCCGCTCCATACTCATTTGTTTTTAAAGAGTCTCAGAGCTTTTCAGGATAAAAGACACTGCCCATATCTAGACTGAAGAAAAAATGATTCCTGGGGGAAGCTGGGTGGCTTAGTCAGTTAAGCATCCGATTCCTGATTTCAGCTCAGGTTGTGATCTTGGGGTCAGGAGATCGAGCCCCACATTGGCTCCGTGCTGGGCATGGAACCTGCCTGAAATTCTCTCTTTCCCCCTCCTTCCACCCCTACCACCAGCCCACTCCACCACCACCCCCCAAGTCTCTCTCAAACACACACACACACACACACACAAATGTTTTCATGTGTCCTGTCATTCTCAGAATGAATTTCAAAGACTCAGCATTTAGATGCTGGGCTACATTTTTCATCTTTCCCCTTATGTGTTGGTACTGTACAGGGACAGTCACTCTTTTCCAGCCAAAGAGCAGAATGCCTGTTTATGTTTCCTGGTACCAAGAAATTTTGAGGTTCCCAGCCAGAGCAGACCAGTCTAGTGATGTTTAATTTATTTCTGTTGTACGCAGGAAAGAATTCTGCATCCACTTGATTTTTTTATCAAGGAAATAGTGAGGTTTTACCTTTCTTTTCTCTTGATCTATTTGCCCTCACCATTAGTAGGGTGAACTCCCTAAGAGATTATTCTTTTGGAATATAATCATTTACTTGTTGTAGATAAGCACCCTCGGTATATCTATGTTGGTTTTGCTACACCCACTTCACTCCACACATGTCAATCTGTAGAGCATCAAGCTCCTCCTCATCTTTTCAGTCTCAAAATTTACAGGGATGAAATATCACAGTTCCTTTTAGAATTGCAAGACACAACAACCCTAAAGCCAGATATAATCAGGACGAAAAATCAGACTAACTCAAATTTCAGGGACATCCTAAGGCGTAATTTCTTTTGAAAGTGTCAAGGTCATGAAAGACCAAAAAAAAAAAAAAAAACAACTCTGAGGAATGGTTTCAAATAAAGGAGAGACCATGGCAATGGAATTCAATTGTGATCATACACTGGATCTTGGAACTAGAAAAAAAATCACACACATAGTTATCCTCAGAATAAACTGCACATACACACATACATTCACATACATACACATATATACATATACATACACAACTCTAAAGGGTATTATTGGGACAACAAAGAATTTCTAAATATAGCCTGCAGATTAAACCTCAGTGTTGTATTGGGGCGCCCAGGTGGTTAAGTGGTTGAGTGTCTGCCTTTGGTTCAGGTTGTGATCACGGGGTCCTGGAATCGAGCCTGCTTCTCCCTCTGCCTATGTCTCTGCCTCTCTGTGTGTCTCTCATGAATATGTAAATAAAATATTTAAAAATCAATCAAAGTGTTGTATCAACATTAAGTTTCCTGATTTTGATCATACTGTAGATAAGAGAATGTCCTATCACCAAAAAGTACACCCTAAAATATTTAAGAATAAGGAAGCAAATGGCTCCACCTTATTTTCAAATGATTATAAGGAAAAAAATAGACAAAGGAAGGAAAAGGAAAAGAAGGGAGGAAGAGAAGAATGAACGAATGAATTAAAAAACAAATGAGCAAAATGTGAGTAACTAGTGCAACTGGGTAAAGGGTCTATGGGAATTCTTTGTACTATCCTTTCAACTTTTCATGATGTCAGAAATTATGTCAAAACAGGACATTAGGGCAGCCCCGGTGGTGCAGCGGTTTAGCGGTTTAGCACCGCCTGCAGCCCAGGGCATGATCCTGGAGACCCTGGATCGAGTCCCACATCAGGCTCTCTGCGTGGTGCCTGCTTCTCCCTCTGCCTGTGTCTCTGCCTCTCTCTCTCTGTCTCTCTCATGAATAAATAAATAAAATCTTTAAAAAAAACAAAACAGGACATTAAATAACTAACTAGAAGGCTTCAATTCATAAGACACACAAAAATGATTTACAATTTATTATCAGTCCTAATTAATAAGGAGAGTTGATAGTTGGAATGTTCTAGATAATCCGACTCTGTGAGCATCCACCCAAGCTTACTTGTTTTTATTTAAAAGGTACTCAGGCCCTGTGTTAAGCACATTAAAATATTAGTTCACTTGACAGTAGGATTTATTTATAACCTGATATACAGATGAGGATTTTAGGGCATAGAGAGAATACATGACTTGCCCAAGGTCACCCAGCTAGCAAGCAACTACGCCAGGATTCAAATTCAAGCCATCTGGCATCAAGGCACCTACTGTTCCAGTTCCTGTAAAGTTACTTCCAGAAAGTGTTAGTTCCTCTTCATGCTTTAGTAAATAGAATGAAAACAAATCTATCTTTCTTCAGGAATTCAAGACATTGATCAGCATCCTAAAGATGAGATCTCTGCTTATGGAAAAATGTATACAGGCAATTGGACTGAATTTGCAAGCAGATAGGAACTTGGAGCTGAAGAGGTCTTCTATTAACCCCTAAATAAATTTTGCTTCATCTCTGAAAAGGTGGTGAAAAACAGTGATTCAGAATTGCTGCAGGGTTCTGATTTGCTGCAGATTTATTAAAGGCTTATGTCATTTTCCAAATTAAGACCAAACACGCAAGAATTCTAAAGTCCTTGAGTACTTAAGCTGTCATTTTTCAAACAGATGGGAAACAACCACACTTCTGATCAGAACTCTTCTAAAACATTTCAGAGAAAATCCACCGGAGCCAGAGCATAGCACACGAAGGCTAAATCACTTTTGTTGATTTCGATGAAGGGATTCAGCGTCAAAACAAAACAAAACAAAATGGATTTTTGCCCATGCATCCACTCAGACTCATTTCCTGACAAACTCCAATAGGAAAGCATTTCTGTGGCAATACAGCAAGGCAGGTCCTCCCTTAATCATAAAGGAAATGGTCCGCATGCTACTAAACAGCATTGCCCTCTCCTGCCTGCCCACTGGCAGGGGAGGCTTCCAAGTCCCACCCTGTGTCACCTCCAGAGTGGGTGCAGATGAATAGTTGGCTATTTCCAGCAGCCCATCTGACCTCCCAGGGTGGGATCTCCTGGGATGGCAAGGCGACTCCAGTTCTCAGCCCTCCAGGTACCAGGGTGCAAGCTGGAATAATTCTTCCAGCTATTGGTAGACAAGGTGGCAGTCTTAAAAGTTTGGACACTGTGGTAAATCATTTTACCACACTAAATTCTACTCACTCAAGACAGAAGATGATATAAGTAAGAAACGTACCCTAAATGAGCAACCTGGACTTGGGAGTTAAAAAATGGGGGACGTGGTTATGAGTGGAAAACAGGTGAAAAGGTGATCCCATTCAGTGATGTCTTGTCTGAGAAACAATGGGCATTTGGATATAGAATTCCTTTATAAAATAATTCATCACTTCTTCAGGCAGAAACGAGGAGAGATGTT